CAAGTCATTTTGTCCAACAATTGCACAAATAATGTCCAAAAAACAATACACAAACACAGAGACTCAAAATCCTGGAGCAGTTTCCAAGCCAGACCGAGGCTCTACTGAGGCCTTTCCACGGAGCTAGCTCTGTGGTCACGTGGGTCTGAGGCGGCGGTCACGTGGGTCTGATGCTCATTAATTATACAGAATTTTAGGCTTTCAATACACTTAAACAGAAGAGTGAGAAAAAATTCACCCCCCTCAGGGTTGTCAAGAGTGTAAACTAGATCATTTAAACAAAAAACATGATTTGGAACCAGGCTGTAAACATGTTTATTTCTGCTGTGAAATTGGTATTTTTAACATGGGAGTCAATGAGGATTTGCTCGCTTCTGACACCAGCCCCCAGCGGATGAGGGTGGAACTGCAATTTATGTCACTTCCGGGTTGGAGTAAATTTTTGAGCCGCATTGTGGGGGCTTAGTTAAGCTATGAAGTTGATTATTATAAAAACACATCAGACGCTATCTGTGTGTCTACTTCACCTGTTTTCGGAGACCCTCTTGGTGGATCCGAAGGTCAGAGAGGTCAGCTGACCTCTGGCACCGAAGGGCTGTAGAATACCGTGGCACCGACTCTTCAGTCCAGAGATACCTCGGGTCACGACAGATGGATGGAACCGCGTGTCTGGGACTCTTAAGGAGTCTAAACAATATCAGCTTGTTCTGCAGGAACTGTTTGCTGTATCAGCTTCGCAGGTGCAAAAAGGTTTTGACAACACGTCAAAGGCTTTGATAGGTTAAAGAGGATTTTGCTTCAGATGGCCGGTCTGAAGCTTCTCTAGAACTGAGGAATCACCAGAGTAATCTGGTTTTAATGTTCTCATGTTCTGATTTGTGCAGCCAACCAGAGGTTGACAAGTTTGAGGAATATTGCCAAGAATCTCAGAAACACGCCTTCCTTGATACCGGATGCTCTGATCTGGGGTAAAGGACTATTTATGTGGCATGAGTTTAACTTAACCTTACTTTGTTCTTGTGTGAGTGCAAATGGTGATGACCTTACCATATAAACATGCTGAAACATATTTCAATCACTGTAATCATAACATCACAATCATTTCCAACTTCAATCATTGAGCACAGATTAATGAAACATTTCATTGTATTATAATTATTAGAAGTAGCAATAAACAAATGTTTATTTAATGATTATCTAGCTTATAAGTTGTAGAAGTTCATATTTGATTTAGGAAAGCATTCTTTGATTTAGCAACAAATCCAGGCTGCGAGTTTTCCTTATATGGAGGCATGGAGAATCCTGAAAGATTGGACCTTGAGGAGAGAACGTTATTGTTGACATTTCGTTATCTGTGTTCAGAGCTGCAGGCTCTGAGCTCCAGTTGGTGGGATGAAGTCAGGCTGATTTAAAGGGGACACATGCAGTCTCGTGTCTCCTGTTTGACCAGATGTTGAATGGTCAAACGGTACCTAAAAACTGACCATTGCTGGACGTTACAATATTAAGTAAAAATTTCCCAACAAAATGTCCAATTACCAAGAGATAGCACAAGATCTTAAACAACGATGAGTGAGATCGTACGTAACATCATTAAAAATAATATTTGAAAATAGATACACTTAAATTATTTCTAAGCTAAGCTGATCTAGAGTGTAAAACACTGGAGTAAAAGGTGATGGGTGGAAAACATCCTCAAGCAATGCTAGTTGTTTGATTTTACAAAATCAATTGATGCTGAAAAACATTAATCATCTCTTGCCAGTTTCCCCAGAATGTATGTGATCACTGCTAAAGATCCGGTAGGTGGGCTCACGTTTCTGTCACCGACGTGCTAGACAGCACTCTGACATACCAATCTACTGAGAATTACGGCTCAGGAAGCACCAAGAAGAAGGACAGGAATCTTCCAACCCACATAAATTTTGCTCACCCAGACAAAGAGGACCATTTTATGTGTCAGAATGATTGTCAAGTGGAGATCAATGGAAGCTAGTGGGGTGGCAGAGGGTTCATAATATCCAATTCTGTTTTACAGCTGTCTTGTGCAAGCTGTCATCTATGATGGCATGTTTATTATAAAAGGATGTGTGTATAAATTAGTCTTGGGGGAAAATGTGTCCTAAAATAAAAATAGCCCAGGGGTAAACAGAAGAATCCCAATACTATGCTCGAGGTGTCCAGTGGGTCCATGTAAGAATTACTCATGAATCAGATATTCTAGTCTAAAGCTAAGTGGACCTAATGGTTCCCAGAGATTAAATCTTTATAAGCCACAATACTATAATCAGCACCTGATTTCCTTAGAAGTGCTGTTATTATTGTGATTTATATTTTCTGTTTTCCTTAAAAGTGCCACCAAAGTGTGCCCAGAGATGTATGAATAACTAGGAGAGATGAGGGACCTGCGTGTTGTTAATGACTGATGGATAGCCCTTGGAAAAAGGACACCGCATTTACATGATGAACGTGTCAGGAGGATGATTGAGTATGACACGCAAGGCCCCTCACTGCTAGAGGCAATGAGAGCAACATTTTTAACAACTTGTCGTGCAGCCTTCATTTGCAACACATGGGTCCTTCTGCTTTTTACGTCGCTCGACGTGGCCCTCAGGATAATCAGAGGTGGTGGTACCAGACTGCCTGGTATGGCTGTCTGAATACTGGGTGACGTCTACATGGATTCATTCCTGCAGGATGGTGGTAAACTAAAATGTTGGTAACATGCAGACAAAAAATAGATCGACACTGGTGCACAAATTGGTCTGATGTGATGATTGTGCTCTCACTTTTTAAACAGCATGAGGTGTGTTTTGTTTCCCCTTTAGATCGTGGTTACTGTGACTGTGGGACATGTGAATGTGACGAGGGCTGGTTTGGAGGGACGTGCCAGTTTCAGGAGGAGTGCAGAGTGTCGGGAAAGAAGAGCAGGGAGCTCTGCAAAAACCAGCAAGGGGTGGTTTGCTCCAACAGAGGTGAGCAACTGCACTCCAAAATTTTCTGCAAGTACACAACTGAATAATGTAGGGGTATTCAATTTTGGGCCTGGAGGGGCGGTACCCAGCACGTTTTAGTTTTAACTCTGTTTCAACACACTTGATTTCAATCATCAGGTGATTAACAGGCTTCTGCATAGCCTGATGAGCTGCTCCATGTGTGATTCAACCATTGAATGTTGGAGCAGAGAAACAACTAAAATGTGCAGGATACTGGCCCTCCAGGCCCAGAATTTAACACCTCTGGAATAAAGGAACAGCAGACAAACATCTTTCAGAAAAATAGTATTTTATGTTCAAATAATTGTAAAGGAAAAAATATGAACACGAATCAAACATTGACTGCATTTTCTAAAGTTTTTTAAGGGGTCCCATGCTGCAGTTCTTTTTTTAAAACACAGAACAGTTTTGTTACCTGTTTTCCCGCATCAGCCTGAGTAAGTTTGCTGCCGCAAACGAAATGTAGGTCTCACAGTACAGGCTGGAAGACCAGTTAGAAGGGCATTGCAGTAATCGAGGCGAGAGATGACAGTAGATTGCACCAGGAGATGGGTGGCATGTTGTGTTAGGTATGGTCTGATCTTTCGTATGTTATACAGCACAAAGCGGCATGAACGAGCAACAGAGGCAACATGATCTTTAAAGGTCAGGTGTTCATCAATCACAACACCCAGATTTCGAACTGCCTTTGAAGGAGCCAGAGATAGGAAGTCATTTTGGATTGAGATATTGTGCTGTATGAATGGTTTTGCTGGTATATATCATGAACACAGCTGATTTGTTTAATTTAGTGATGCATCACTCGTATAGACAGTAAGGAAGGCTGGGGAGACATTCAATTCCAGGCCTGGGGGGGCGGTATCCAGCACGTTTGAGTGGTTTCTCTAGTCCGACACACTAGATTCAGTGGTTGAGTCACCTGTTCAGCAGCTCATCAGGCTCTACAGAAGCCTGTTAATCATCTGCTGATTGGAATCAGGTGTGTTGAAGCAGGGCTAAAACCAAAACGTGCTGGATACCAGCCCTCGAGGTCCAGAATTGAATAACCCTGGATTAAGGTGTTAAAAAGACGAATGTACAGCGAGGAGATGGTTTTTGCTTTTGGTTCTACAGAGTGCTAAAAGCAAGTCAAAACTGCCTAGTTCCCCTTTAACGAGGCACTCTGAATATCTAGAAGACAATGAAACATTAGGTGCAAAAATGATTCTAAAACTAATGTCTGTTTTTATTTCATGCATGTAAAAATCTAAATATAAAATGTGCAGTTTGAGAAATTATGTTCTTCAGACCCTTTTTCTTGTTTACCACTTTCTAGTGATAAGAAACAGATAGCAAAATCACATTAAAATGATGAGACAAGTTAATAAAAATGAAAAGAAGACCAAATTATAAAAGAAAAGTTCAACTTATATAAGCTCAGAATCTTCAGGTGTATGCAAAATCATAAAAGCCAACAAAATATGCTTTAAATCCATTGGTAGGACTGAATAATTGTTATTTGTTTCTTTTTCTGGCAGAAGAATTTAGTACCAGCTGCAGACAAGATAAAGGAAATGGACTGATGCCAAAATAGAGTGGCTATGATGATTTTGAGGTATTGAGGGCATATATAATTTGTTCTCATTCCTTAGTTTGCTTCTTCAAAAATGCTAGAAACTGATTTTTTTATGCCTAAAATGTTATTTTTTTATTATTACAGTGACTTTCAAAGAATTATAGTAAAAAATCTGACCTTGTGACAGTGAACTAGTTCTTTGGGACATGACTTTGTACTAAAACAGTTTCTCTGTTTTAAAGTGTGTCTGTGTAAAATCATAAATAGCCACTAACTTACCTGCAGCTGGCTTCCATATGATACCATTTTATTTATATAGCACATTTATACTCAGCATGTGAGCTGACCAATGCACTGCACAAAGAAAAATCATAAAAGGATCATTTTAGACAGTTAATAACAGTCATTAAATACAGATAAAATCAGCCTAAACAACCTTCTGTAACAGCTTCTGTTTTTGGAAACAGTGTCTACTTCTTTTGAGGAGCTAATGGTTGGTCAGAGCTTAACCAAGACTAAAATCTGTATTTTATAAATGCATTTGTCTTAAAATGGCTCCAGATTTCACAGCAGTTCAAGCAATAGTTATCTGATGAACTTTTACACTCTCGTCAATTTCACGTTTCATCCATTTTACTCTGAAATTGCTAAAGGATTGGAACCTTTGATGCACCTGAACATGTATTTTTTTTCCCACTGCTGGTGATGTTGAAAATGTTATAAAGGGTTTATAATAAAAATTTGAACAAACAGCAATGAAAGTTTGGAGACTGTTTGAAAATGGTAGGGATATACTGTGGCCTTCTGCACACTCTATCAGTTAGCTTATCAGTCCTGCAGAACTGTTTACAATGGGAATGATGTGTATTTATGTTTTTACATGAAAACACACTTAAAGATGATTATAATAGTTCCATTTTAGGTTTCTTTTTTGTGTCGCTTGATCTTTATGCTAATTTAGAAACATATTTTTGAAGCATACATGTTTGTTGAGTGGGAGCGCTAGCAAGAAATAGAAAAAAACAACCAACAGCAACAATGTCCAAAGAAAAAACATCTTTGAGACATGAGTTGAGCTTTCATTTCCATGGCTTCTTATGTGATTTCCAGTGTCCATAATTACGTGTTTACGCATCACACTAAACATGCATGACAAGAGGTCAAGTTCAGGTCAAGGTGGTCTTTTCCACACGCTCACCTGGGTTTAACCTCGCAGCCTGCCTCCAGTTAAATGAGGAATAAACATGTATTAATGTGTGTGTGAGTGAGAGAGAGAGAGAGAGAGAGAGAGAGAGAGAGAGAGAGAGAGAGAGAGAGAGAGAGAGAGAGAGAGAGAGAGAGAGAGAGAGAGAGTGTTAGAAAGCCTGGGCTGTGCTGTGTCATGCCTGTTTGAATATGTAGAAATGCAAATGTATGCACAGCGTGTGGCTGTTAGCTTTCTGCTTCTTTTACACTTAATCCAAAATCCAAGTCCCCCCCCCCCCACACACACACACACACATGTTGGCTTGCCAAACAACAGCTTAGACCTGTTGGCACATGATGCACAAGCGGTACTTTCAAGTGCACAGATGTAAACCAGCTGGGTTCTTGGACCTACTGTGTGCTGCGTTAAAACATTATGCAGTCACATTCTCCCGTTGCTGCTTTTTGACATACCTGACCTAACACCCATGAAAGATTCATTTTAATTTCAAAGGAACCTGCAACTGTGGAAGCTGCATGTGTGACAACGATGACGGCAAGAGTTTGGTGACGGGGCGCTTCTGTGAGTGTGATGACAGTGAGTGTCTGGACGAGGACATAGGAGAGGTTTGTGGAGGTACATCAGACCCTTATTTACTTATAGACATGGATAATTTTACACTCAGACAGATAAATAATATGTAATGATAAATATAAAACAATATGTTGCATTAAATAACCAAAAAGAAGCACAATCCTGACATACAACAATAACAGATTAGTCAAATCTGATCCTCCGTCTCTCTGTGGAGGACTTATAAGTTGTTGCATGTGCTTTCAGGCCATGGCCAGTGTTACTGTGGAAACTGTTACTGTGCTGCTGGTTGGCATGGAGACAAATGTGAGTTCCAATGTGACATCAGCCCATGGGAAAGCAAGCGAAGATGCACATCCCCAGATGGCAAAATCTGCAGCAACAGAGGTTTGTTGAGTCACTTTAATGTCAGCATTAAATCTGAGGCCTTTAAAAAATATTTATTTTGTTCAAAAAAAAAAAGAAAGAAAATGCAAAACATGCAGATCTACACATCCCAGAATGAAAAGGAGCAGAAAGAAGTAACGTCATAGTAATTTCTGCCCCTTTTTCTGTTTAAAATAACAGTTCCAGAAACCAAACATGTACTTGTGTTTTTATAACATCTCGTGTGTCAGCATCCCTAACAGACAAACTTAAAATCATTTAAAGGTTTTTTTTTTTAAATGAAACTACAGAATTACAAACATTCACTTATGGGAGAGAAAAAAAAGACATGAAGCAGGAAGTGATCTGCAAATGACACATCAGATTTATTGCAATGTTGAGTGAAATGAGCATCTTAGGGCGAATGGCATAATAAATCAGTATGAATAATAAAGAAACCCACAGTCAGAGGCTGTCTCACATTTTACTACAACAGATAAAATAGTCAACCCCAGAATGGACTGTGAGGCATCAGTGTTTGGCAGACAGGCAGACACAGAAATCTCTCTTAGCTCAACTGATCCTGAGGGATTTCTGTGAATTTCTCCTAAATTAATTACGGTGGCTGGCTAAGTGCTGAGGTGAAATGCTAGGCTTCATGGGAGTCCTGCTGCACAGCTGAGATTTCTGGATAGATGCACAGCTGTCACACTAACAAATTTAACTGGTGCATTTGTGAAATAGCAGCCTGTGGGACGAGGGGACCAGCTTCAACAGTAAGTTGTAGTTTTAAACATATTTTTTACTGCACTGCAAGCTTGTCCTTTTGCTTAACCTGATCAAGGTAACTCTATGGATTGCAAATTTAATTTGTAATAATTATTTTGTTGTTGATAAATGGCAATATTTGTATCTTTAATTAATCAGTAATGTGTGCGAACACTGTTTCTTCAATAAAACAAAACTATAGCAAGGGCACCTCTTTGTTATATTCCTGTTTTACAAAGCAATAATGCAATTGATCCCAGTCCAAATAGTAGTACTACTAGTCAAATAGAAAATCAAAATAGCTACAGGTATTTTGTTGGTAGTAGAAATTTTATGTAAGGGTATCTAAAAATTGCACTGATTTGAAATATATCCAAATCCTTTAAAATATCTAATTGTGACATTTTAACATTCACTAGACAGATTGGATATGTATTACAGACATCTATTAATCTGTTGTTCCAAGTAAATTTTTGTATTCCAGATATCCATAATAACATGAAAAATGAACCATTTAGATTTCTCAAATGTAATTCTTCTTAAGACGAATAATGTCACATTTCCATTCTAGCACTAGTTTAAACGTAAGTTCAGATGAAATGAAATTATTGATAGCTGGATGTTTTTTTCACATTATCTATTTGAAATAAGATGTTTTACTAGTAACAACTGAATTATAGTTATTTAAAGTGAGAGTTTATTTGAGAACGATCGAAAGAGCACAAGGCGGCCTAAATCTGGTGGGGGTGGGGGTGGGGGGGTCCAAATGTGTCACATGTGTCACTTTAAAAAGTGTGTGTGTGTGTGTGTGTTTGGGGGGGGGTCCAAATGTGTCACATGTGTGAGGAAATGCACCATGAAACCAGTATAGAAATTTTTTGTTAAAGCATATTACACTTGATACAACCTCTGCTTCCACTTCAAGTCAATCTCTCTGGGCTCCTTTGATCGGTTCCATCACATAGCGATGATAGGGGGTCATTGATATTGTCCTGCGGGATGATGTGGGTGATGGGGCGGAGGGTCTGAGGTTGGAGTATCCAGATGTTCCCTGGAGGTGGGTTCACTCGGGGTGTCTGGGGCTGGGAGGCTGCTGCCCCCCTCTGGAGGTGCTTGGGTTGCCTGGGGGGGGGGGGGGGGGGGGACTAATGGCGGTTGTGAGTGGGGCCCCTTGGGGGATCTTGGTGGCGGCCATTGGTTGCTGCCGGGCGACTGCATCACCCCAGGGTAGGTCTGGGTGGGGGCTCGGGGTGTGGGGGCGGCGGGCCCCGTGTGGGGATCTGGACGGGGACTTGGGGATGGGGTCCTGACTCATAAGCTGCCGGGAAGAAGGCAGTAACAAGCTGCAGTGCCTGGCCCAGGCTCAAGGGCCTCAGGTGGACCTTGTCTCCTCTGAAATAATAACAACTCTGTCCCATCACGGGGAAGGGAGATGCACAGGAGGGGGAGAACCCAACCTTACCTGGATGTCTCATTTATTACATATTCTAGAAGTTGAGCAAATGCACTGATGGGAGTAGATATTCTGCTGGGATGGGGCTGGGTGCGTGCCCTCGGACTCCGTGGGGCTGTGCAATACTGCTGCTTTGGGCCCTGGCGAGATGGGCTGGGGTCTCTATGCCCTGGGGGGTATTTTGGGAACGGAGGTACCTATTGGGGCTAGTGGGGGAGCTGGCTCCCTGGAGGGCTTAGACCAACTAGCCATTCCTCCCCATCCCCACACATTTTTATCCTCCTGCTCCTTCACATCATCACACAATCATGCACATAGGACCTTGGGGTATGGGTAAGTCAGGGGTGCAGGTATGCATCCCATTTCCGCATTCCTGTGGCAGCCTACCCCCCAATTTTATTTGCACATTAAACACTTCCACCAACAACATTCCATGCAAACACACACTTAGGGCCTTGGGAGTGTGCCCACTCAACAGCATTTGGCAAAGTGATCTTTCAGCCTCATCTCGAGAGCCAGTGCCCATTTCCAATTTTAAACTGCACTTAGACACTGAGGGCTGTGGGGGGAAGTGGTTGTGTGGTTGCATCAGCTAGCGTAGGCCAGACAATGCCTGCACTGCCTGCTCACCACAGCCATGGAATACACCTCATCAACATGCACTAACACTGGATTGGAGCAGGAGTAGGGAGACTAGGGGTCTTAGCACACCTCTGTTGTCGCTTGGCTTCCTCGGGTTGGAGGCTAGGAGGGGGATCTGGCCTTCATGTTGGGGTCTGGGGTGGTGGGAGGCTTTTGCTCAGCATTGCTCATCATCACTCCAGCAGAAAGGGGCGAACTCTGGGAACCGGTGATGGTTGTACCCTTTGTGCAGCAGTACCGGGACTAGAGTGAATAGGTTGTGTATGGGGAGCATGAGTTGGTGTCTAGCGTTCATTTTTGTAAGTCTTAAGCCCCCTTCAGACAGACCATGAAAAACGGAAATGTTCCGGACTCTGTCCGTAAGACCTTTGTGTCTGAATACAAACATCCGGATAGCGTGTTCCGGAATTTAACCGGACGAAGCCCTAGTAACAGGTCCGGACTTGTTACGGACAGGGTGGCTGCTTCAGACTGGTGAGGTAGAGTTCCAGACAAGGGGGAGGGGGAGGAGGAGGGGACCCGGGGACGCTGTGTGCACCCAGATAGCCCGCTGCTGTAGCATGCGGCGAACCACGGCAGCTCGCCTCCTACGGTACCGTCTAGACGCGTGACGGAGCGCTTCACACCGCTTCAGTGATTCCTTTAACCATTGAGCTTCATCATCCAGGTCTATCATGCGTCTTCGTGTGCGCAGAATTATGCTTAAGCGCCTCGTGATTTTTATCTTGAGAGGCGCTACAGAAATTATATTTTCTTCTTCTTCTTCTTAACATAAGTCCAATTCTACACCCCCCCCCACCCCCCACCCCCCGCCACCGTCAGACATCTGGAACTTTTCCCTGCTGTGTGAACGCAGCCGAAAGGACAAGTTCCGGTACAAAAGTGGTGTGTCTGAAAACACAGTTCCGGTTAAAAACCGGATTGATTTGTCCGCAAATGTTCCAGAATGTCTATCTGAAAATGGCTTTAGGTGTGAGCTTGAGGGAGGGAGTGTGTGACTGTGTCTGTGTATGGCTGTATATGTCAGGTGGGGTCTTGGACTCCTCCCCTCTCCTGGGACTTCTTGTGCTTCTAGTGCTACTACACATCTTAGCCTACCCTCCCCCTGCCACATTTGGTGTGGAGTGTGGTGTCGCTGGGTTTCAGGCTCGGCTGGCTTGGGGGTGGGAGGCCATCAGAGTGGGTTTTGTTGTCAGGGATAGTGAATTTCATCTCATCAGTCACCTTCATCTTCTACTGACACTTTGGGATAAACAAGAGAATCATCTGACACACAGCTCCCAGCAGATAATTCTCTTTTACCCTTTTAAAGAGTCATCCACCCTTCGTTTGGTTGGCTTAGCAAGATTTCCCTGTAGACGTATCGAGACGTATCAGCCCCATACTGCCAAAAGTCAAAAACACTGCTCCAAGTTTCTTCTTCAAAACAATTTTATGATTAAAATTGCATGAAGAATGGCTGGCAGCTACTGGGGGACAATAGGATTTTTGACCAAAACATCAATCCTTCTTTTTGTGTATTTGTATCAAATGTGTCTAATACAGGTGTTTGGATTGACTCTGTTGAAGCTCAGTAGTGACATTTGTGGCAGAAAGAAAACATATAAGTCTATTAATCCAGAACTCTGGGGTTATATAATGTGGCAAATGCACAGCCATGGGCCAGACATGTCAGCCAGAGCCCACAAGGCTTGCCAGCTGGCCCACTCCCCTGGGGGTTCCCTGTGCTCTGTCTCCTCCTGATAAGAGAAAATGGGATTTCCATTGACTGCTGCTCAGTTGATGCCTGCTCCAAGATGCGAAACAAATGAAAAGACGTGAAAAAAATTATTAAAGGAGGGAAAATGGAAGGAAAGGAAGAAAGTGTTTACCACTGAGGTCTTTTGGTTAAGTAGTAATAAATAAAAATCATTTTTGCTCCATTTTACTGGTTTAGAGAGAAAACAGACAATTTGTTGAACGTTAGTGTTTTTGTATTTTGGTCAAAAATATCCCACAACAGCGTCAACAGTGTTTGATCCTCTGATTTTCATGGCTTTGGCCTTTAGGGACCTGCGTTTGTGGGGAGTGCACCTGCTATGATGTAGACCCTTCTGGGGACTGGGGGGACATCCATGGAGACACGTGTGAGTGCGATGAGAGGAACTGCCATGCAACGTACGACCGATACACAGATGACTTCTGCTCAGGTCCGAATGCTGTTTTTGATTAAAATAAGTTTAACATGGAGCTATGAGCTTGTTACTATAATTTTACTTATGTATATTTTTTTTATTTAGCAAACATCAACAGCTTTTACAGGTTTAATACAAGAACTGCAATGCAACTTTGTGGCCAATAATTATATTTTTGGTGTTTTTTTAGGGAATTTAAAAAAAAATAAAAGCATGATGGTGATTTTTAAATTCTAATAATTTGCATTGTTCCCAGTCAGACAAACTCTTTCAGCTTTGCTCAGTCCAAGTATCCACCCTGACTGTCACATCATGTGTTATCTTTCTGTCTCTCAGCATCGTTATTTGATGTCTGATTGCTCAAATCCGCCTCTTTTCCACTTCTAGTCTTCCTCCAACCCTTTCTCCTCACAGGTCATGGGCAGTGTAATTGTGGAAGGTGTGACTGCCAGGAAGGCTGGACAGGGAAGAAGTGTGATCATCCTATGAGTTGTTTGCAATCATTGGAGAGCAGTCTGAAGAAATGCAGAGGAGCGTCTAATTTGCCCTGCTATGGACGAGGTAACTTTCTGTTGCCAAGGTTACCATGCTCCTACCTCTTAGTGTAAAATGAGCACTTTCCAGTGTTTCACCTCTTTCTACATTCTTAAGAAGACATTAAAATATGTATTTTTTGTTTTCGTGTCCTGTCTGGCTGTGAAGCAAACAGAATTAATGTCTGAATGCTGGTGGCAAGCCTTACAGATTTTACTCTCAGGTGGAGCATCAAAGCATCTGCTTTTAATGTCATGGCTGACACTTAAAACTTTATTGTTATTGTTTTTTGAATGCTTTGTGATTTCGACCGGACACGGAGACAGAGGTGATAGAGAAAGGAAGAGACAAAGGAGGGGTCCACGAAAATAAACAATCAATGACAAACAAGATTCTGCTTCTAGACCTTCAGAAAAGGGACACACAACAATGCAACGGGAGCAAGCTATCACTGCGTCAACTTGAAGGAATGTAAAATCAACATTGTTTAACTGAACAATCACACAATAATAAATCACAGTGTGTTTAGTGCAAACCACAGCCTTAAGACCTGTGTTTAACGTCCATACTTTTGAGAGCACCATGTGAGCACCTGTGTGTGTGTACACGCGCTTGTATATGTAAGGTATCTCTATAGGAGCGTCCAATAGAGAGTGTGAGGGGCCACAGATCTGCCCCCAATGATGCGTAGGAGATGGAGGGAGCTCCAAGTCTCAGAGATCCAGAAGCTGCCCCAGAGCAGAGGGAATCCAGGGAGACCGCGACCAGAAAAGCCCCTACCCCCCCATCGAGAGGCGCAGAGGATCGCCCCAGGGGGCCACAACCAGCAGCCGGCAGAGTCCCGGGAGATATCAGCAGCAAGCCCACAGGCCCACCCGCAGCCTCCCAACCCCCAGCCGGCCGAGCCCGGGACCCAGCACCCAGGGGCGACCACCCCCGCCAGGGACCCAGCAGAGCCCAGGGACCCAGATCCCACCAGGCAGTCAGCGGGATTGATCAGGCAGACGCCAAAAATCTTAAACCCCCTGGTCCGGGAGCCACGAACACTCAGGCAGACCAAGGCACCACACTCCACAGTAGGTGTGGCAGGGGGAGGGGAGATGAAGATGTATACCATCAAAATAATTCCCAGGAGAAGGGAGGAGTCAAAGGCCCCACCTGACATATACAGTCATACACAGACACAGTCACACACTCCCTCCCTCATGCTCACACATACACATACAACCAAAAACTTATAAAAATGCACACCAGGCACCCACTCATGCTCCCCATACACACCCAATTCACTCTAGTCCCGGCACTGCTGCACATGGGGTACAACCATTACTGATTCCCAGAGTTCGACCCTTTCTGCTGGGGTGCTGATGAGCAGGCTCCCCCGCCAAATGCTGAGCAAAGCAACCCACCACCCCAGACCCCAACCAGATGGTCAGATCTCCCTCCTAGCCTCCAGCCCGGGGAAGCCAAGTGACAACAGAGGTGTGCTAAGACCCCTAATCTCCCTCTGCCTGCTCCAATATAGTGTTAGTGCGTGTTGATGAGGTGTAATCCATGGCTGTGGTGAGCAGGCAGTGCGGGCATCGTCTGGCCTAGTGTGTGTGTTTGCATGGAATGTTGTTGGTGAAAGTGTTTAATGTGCAAATAAAATTGGGGGGCAGGCTGCCACAGGAATGTGGAAAAGGGATGCATACCTGCACTCCTGACTTGTCCACCCCCCAAGGTCCTATGTGCATGATTGTGTGATGATGTGAAGGAGCAGGAAGAGAAAAGTGTGTGGGGATGGGGAGGAATGGCTGGTTGGACTTAAGCCTTCCAGGGAGCCAGTTCCCCCACTGGCCCCAATAGGCACCTCTGTTGCCAAAATGCCACCCAGGGCATGGAGACCCCAGCCCATCTCGCCAGGGCCCAAAGCAGCAGCATCACAGAGCCTCACAGAGTCCGAGGGCACCAACCCAGCCCCACCCCAGCAGAATATCTACTCCCATCCCCACATTTGCACAACTTCCAGAATATATAAGACATAGGACATCCAGGTAAGGTTGGGTCCTCCCCCTCCTGGACATCCCCCTCCCTTGTGATGGGACAGCAGAGGAGCCAAGGTCTACCCGAGGCCCCTGAGCCCAGGCCAGGCACTGCCACTTGTTCCTGCCTTCTTCCTGGCAGCATATATGTCAGGACCCGACCCCAAGGCCCAGCCCAGATCCCCACACGGAGCCGGCCACTCCCACACTCAGAGCCCCCAGGCCCCCACCCAGACCCACTCAGGGGCAATGCAGCTGCCAGGCAGCGATCCACGGCCACCGCTAAAACCCGCAAGGGAACCCACTCACAACTGCCAGTAGTCCACCCCCCGAAGCAACCCAAGCACCTCCAGAGGGGGGCAGCAGCCCCCAGTCCCAGACAACCCCAGTGAACCCACCTCCAGGGAACGTCCGGATACTCCAAACTCAGACCCTCCACCCCATCACCCACATCATCCTGCAGGACAATATCAATGATCCCCCATCATTGCTATGTGATGGAACCGATCAAATGAGCCCAGAGAGATTGATCTGAAGTGAAAGCAGAGGCTGTATCAAGTGTAATATGATCTAACAAAAGATTTCCATACTGGTTAATGCAACGAGTATCTCTATTTTTCCAATTCATGAGGATAGTTTTCTTAGCGATGCATATGACAGTCAGAACCACGTGAACTAAAGATGTTTCAATCGGGACATCGTCCAGGTTTCCCAGTAAACAAAGAGAGGGGGAAGTTGGGATATGACATTTCAGACACTTTGACAGGTTTTCACATACTCTACCCCAAAATTCCTGGACAGGTGAACAGGACCACAGTGAGTGGATGTAATTATCAGGAATGTAGTTTGTGCAGTGTGTACAGGTGTCAGATGACACAAACCCCATCTTGAACATCCGATGACCTGTATAGTGTACTCTGTGTAGAATGTTGTTCTGAATAAATTGTAAATTGGGGTGTCTGATCATTTAAAAAGTTTTTAAACAAGTTTGGGACCAGAAGTTCTGGTCAAAGCTGAGTAATAGATCCACTTCCCATTTTTCAATAGGGATTGCTATTCTATCGTCTATTTTGGACAGTGTCTTATATACTTTACACAGTAGTTAGGGGGGTTGAGATTATAGAAGTCTAATACCCTTGGTGGTGTTTGTAATTCTATTTTATTGAGCTTAAATTTTTGTTTGATTACAGATTTAATTTGGTGATATTCTAAAAAGCTATTCTTATCTATTCCAAATTGGGAGACTATTCTATTAAATGGGATGAAGTCCAATCCTTCATATATGTGTTCCAGGTATAGGATTCCTTTACTTTTCCAGTCCGGAAGGTTTATCATTTCGTTATTTTGCAGAATATCAGGATTATTCTAGATAGGTGTGCGTCTGCATGGTATTAGTGAAGATTCTGTCATTTTTAGATACTCACACCATGCTGTCAGAGAGGTGCTGATACTAATTCTTTTGAAGCCTTCACGTTTTCTTATGCTTTAGGTAATAAATGGTAAGTCTGAAAGCTCTATTGTATTGCAAAGTGTCTGTTCTATATCTAACCAGGACTCATCTAGTGGGTTATCTTGCAACCATCTTGGTATATATTGCAGCCTGCTGGCTAAGAAATAATAATAAAAGTTGGGTAGGTCCAGTCCTCCTCTGTCTTTGGTCTTCTGAAGCATTTTTAAGCTAATTCATGGAGGTTTATCCTGCCAAAGGAATTTAGTGATTGAGGAGTAAAGTGATCTAAACCAGTCAGCTGGTGGCTTGTTTGGGATCATTGAAAATAAGTAATTTATTCTGGGTAAGACCATCATTTTAATTGTAGCAAACCTCCCCATGAGTGATATCGGTAAGGATTTCCATCTTGCAAGATCATCTTCCACGTTCTTTAAAAGTGGGATGTAGTTTAGTTTCGTTAGATCTGCCAACTTGGGAGAAACATTAATTCCCAGGTATGTGATATTCCCTGACTCTAATTGTGTATTAAGCAATTTGACAAAAGAGAAATTAATTGGTAGAACTGTGAATTTTAACCAGTTTATAGAGTAATCTGAAACTCTTGAAAAAGAGTTTATCAGTTCTATTGCTTGGGTGAGAGAGGATTGAGAATTTTGGAGAAAGAGTAAAACATCATCTGCATAAAGACTGATCTTATGTTCTATTTTCTTACATTTAAAGCCTTTAATACTGTTTGCCTAATTGCTGCTGCTAGTGGTTCGATAAAGATAGCAAACAGTGAGGGGAGAGTGGGCATCCCTGCCTGGTCCCCCTCTGAAGACAGAAGCTAGCTGATATTTGGTCATTTGTCCTGACATGTGCTGTTGGTGAACTGTATAATGTTTGTAGCCAGTTTATGAAGAAGTTCCCAAAACCAAATTTATGTAAAGTTGCAAATAAGAACTTTCAGTTAACTCTATCAAAAGCCTTTTCTGCATCTAGAGATAATATACTAGTTTCTGTGTTTCTACTGTAAGAGAAATCTATCAAATTAAGTAATCTACATGAGTTTTTGGATGACATATTAGAATTATTTGATTCTATAGATAAACGGCTTCTGGGATTTGAGGGGCGACTCGACCTGCTTGAGGTTCTACATCAGGAGTTCCAGAACCTCCGAACATCTCTGGACTTCAGCCAGGAGCAGGTTGAGCGGCTCGCTGCTGAGAACACATCTCTGCGGGAGTGCGTTTCTTCCCTGGAAGAGGGAGTGAAGCGGATCACCCAGGACAACAAGATTCTCAAAGAGACGGTTTTGGACCTTCAGGCCCGTAGCATGAGGGATAATTGGGTGTTCACAGGCCTGCCGGAGCAGACGGGAAGGGCAGAGAACTGCGAGCAAACAATCAAGAACTTTCTCCAGACCGAAATGAAGATACCTGAAGAAACTGTACAAAAGATCACCTTTCACCGGGTGCATTGTCTTGGAGCTAGAAGAGTGGACAGCAGAAGATCTCATCCCATTGTGGCTAAATTTGAACATTTTAAACAGAAGGATCTTGCTAAAAGCCACGGAAGAGAGCTCAAAGGAAAATACTACAGCGTAAATGACCAGTTTCCTAAGGAAATCCTGGATCGGCGCTGAGTCCTCTTACCGCTGCGCAAAAAGTTTATCCAGGATGGGAAGAGGGCTGTCATCTCAGTGGATAAGCTTTATGTGGACAGCAAACTTTATAAGGAGCGAGGAGTGACAGACTGGTTGTATTTGCCCAACATCAGGTGAGACATTTATTATTCTTATCAGGATTCACTGGGTTTGAGCACGTCAGGATTAAATGGCTGCTAGATCTGTGTTCTAGATGATGAGATCACCTGTTCTTCATCACCTCACACCCCTATCACCCTTTCTTTTTAGTTTTTTCTTCTTCTTTAACCTTTATAATTCTTTCCTTTCCTCTTCTTATCTGCTTCTGGACCTGTACATCTGTATGGCACAACCACGCAACGTTCTAACAATGTGTCAGATTCAGCATGCACACGCGCATACACACACACACACACACGCACGCACGCACGCACGCACGCACGCACACACACACACACACACACACACACACACATATTAAATCTACAGCACAATATCACAATTTATGCGTCTCATAATAACCGCAAACACTGTTGGGTCTTTATTATTAGTATTCTTATTTATTTTTCTGTTATTTCTTAACTTATTATTTTATACATGTAAGTACTTATTCCATCTTATTCACATGAAGGCGTCATATTCTAGCTACTCTCACAAACACATCTATGGGTGCACTAAAGTTTGTCTCATGGAACGTACATGGAGCTGGCTCTAGAGCGAAAATTAAAGATTTTTGATCAGTTAAAAAGAGTGCAAGCTGATGTAATATTATTACAAGAGACTCATAGATCTGCCACATCTACAGATTAACTTAAAATACCTGAGTTTCCCAGCATGTTCTCTGCCTGCTATAACTCTAGGCAAAGAGGTGTAGCTATTTTAATACACAAAATCATCAATTTAACAGTATTGGACACAGTTTCAGATCCAGAGGGTAGATTTATAATGTTAAAAATATCTGTACTGAACAAAAGCTTATGTATCGTCAGCATATATTGTCCAAATATTGATGACCCTTCTTTCTTTCACAATTTTTTCTCTGTACCCTCCGAACACTTGGTCTGTCCACTTATACTTGGAGGTGATTTTAATTTTTGGATGGACAGTTTAACAGACAGGCTCAGTACAGCTGGGACTTAGCACAATTGGCAATCCACTAATATAGTTAAACAGTACATGAGTGATTATGGGCTTTGTGATGCATGGCGATCTCTTCATCCTAACCGTAGAGAGTATACTCTTTTCTGACATTAATTATGTTCCTGTGCCCAGGAAGCCACAAGTGTTGTCACAGATAGCTTAAATGCTCGTACTAGAGCTTATAATGAATGACTTATTCATTGTATGAATGACTTATATCATTCCGCTTTTTTTTTTTGGTGTTGGGCGATTAGTAACGGCAATTTTAAAGCAACTTGAATTTGATTTTGCTTCCATTCTTCTTCACAAGCAACTCTTTTAATTTTACTACTGCCAGGTTGTTTTGAACAGTATGCTGATGTAATTTCCTACTGAGTTATAACCAATCAGTGTGACCAAAATTTCTGCTCAACTACGCTACCAGGCATTTCTGAATCAGTTAGTTCCTGAAAACGGCCCGGTAAACGGCCCGTTCGTTGGCCTGGGGAAATGGAACATGCCGGGAAGTTCTGGTAAAATTACCCTGAAGTTTAGATAGTGGAAACACACCTATGGAAGCACATCTTCTGAATGTTTCAAAGAATCAGAATCGAGATTGATAAAGAAAACAATTTCCCCTACTCAGCAGTCCAATCCTAGGACCTCTTATCAAAAATCAGCCTACCCCTGATGTTTTTTTTTCTCAAAGAAAAGTGGCATCTTTACTGCCCCTCTTGACACCAGACCATCCTCCAAAAGTTTTTCTGGGGTTGACAAGAGTACTTTTTTACCACACTGTGTAAAGACACATGCACACACACATTTTTCTGGAGTTCTAGTAATTGTTTTGACACCTCAATGGCTGCAAAATCATTTTTTGTGCTAAACAATGATGACTGCATCTTTCCATGTGGGTATTGATGATTGATAAAGGTAGAACAATGATTTCAAGGTGGTTCACTCTCCATTTGAAGCATCCAGCTTGTCATTCTGACTCAGTCAGCATGATAGAGAGATTCCTACACTCGTGTATGTAAGGGTTCTCATCCATATTATTGAGAAGATCATTGAAATCATGTCAGTAGGTTCTCTTGTGGCAGGATTGACACTCAGTGTTACTGAGTTGTTTGTATCAATTTCATCTAATAACTCTTCATAACATTCCAGCTCTAAATGGGGTTCCCAAAACATTTTGACCATGGCTGTAGATACATTCATTCATTTATTAATTTATTCATTTATAGAGCAATTTCCACAACCTTTAGCAGAAGCCCAAGGTGCTGAACACAACAACAAACAGGCAATCACATCAATAAAAATGAAAACAATAAAAGCAGAATAAAAAATACAGCATAAAAACAGATTAGAACAATTGTTAAACAATTAAAATTAAGACAAAAGCGAAGACCCCAGTGGTGAAAATGCCTGGATATAATAATGGGCCTTCAGATGTGACATAAAAATCTGGAAGGAAGGCGCCAGCCTAACAGTCAAAGGTAGACCGTTCCACAAAGTTGGAGCAAGGACCACAAATGCACAATCTCCCCTAGATTTGCATCTGGAACGAGGGACCACCAGTAAATCCTGGTCACCAGAGTGAAGAGAGCGGGTGGGGACATGCCTTTGCAGCAGTGCTGCAAAATAGGTAGGAGCAGTACCGTGAAGAGCCCTGAAAACAAGCATCAGCACTTTGACTTAGAGTTGTAGAGTTCCGCCAACACTGGTGTGATACTGATGTGATATGGACATGCCATCTTGTGCCTGTCAGAAACCTAGTAGCGGAGTTCTGAACCAGCTGTAAGCAAGCAATCGCACCCTAACTCAAACTGGCATACAGTGCATTGCAGTAGTCAAATCTGCACAGGACGAATGCACGAATAACAGATTGTAGATGCGCTCTAGAACACAGAGGCTTGATCTTAGCCAAGCGTCACAAATGAAAGAAAAAAAAACTGGAACGTACTACCGTGTTAATTTGTGCATCAAATTTTAGTGCTGAATCAATTTTTACACCCAAATTGGAAACAACATTTTTCTCGTAGTGTGCCAAAGGGCTAAGGTCCACACTGGAGGCTGAGCCCACTGGCGTACCCGAACGGAGTAATATGACCTTGGTTTTATCATTGTTCAGATGAAAGAAGCTGGAAGCCATCCAGGAAGTGACATAATTTAAACAGTCCAGCAGAGGAGAAACTGATGCACTAGTCCCACGGCAAATAGGGAGATATAACTGACAGTCGTCAGCACATAGATGGAATCTCACACTATGTAGACGGAGTAAATTTCTCAAAGGTAGGAGACATAATGCAAACAGTAGGGGGGCCAGAACAGATCCCTGCGGCACACCCCATTGCAGATCCACCCAGGGAGAAGATGCCTCACCCATCCTCACACAAAAACTCCTGCCCTTAAGGTATGATTGAAACCTGTCCAGGGCTAGTGCCGAGATCCCCATCCAGCTCCGCAGTCAGTCCAGAAAAATGTCATGATCAACCGTATCAAAGGCCGCAGACAGATCTAACAGCAACAGGACAACTGCATCACCCACTTATCAAATAGGTGTCAGTTAAGACCATAAGGAGAGTGGTCTCAGTACTGTGACCAGCCCTGAACCCTGACTGGTAAGTCTCCCAGACCTCCTGAGTGTTCAAAAAAGCTACTAGTTGAGAATACACATCTCTCTTCAGCAGCTTTGATAAAAACAAAAGGGGGGTTTGAGATGGGCCTTGGTACTTGATACTTGGTTAACTTTTACGCACAATGCTTCCAAAACATATCAACTCCACAGTTCAGATCAGGTCAGACAGAAAGTCAAACAGCAGTGTAAAACATCTCAGAACAATTCTAAATAAAAGCCTCATGCAGATGAATGTATGTCATTTCCTGTAAAATCCCTGTAGTCAATGTACACAGAACAGAAAATAAGTCAGAGCTTTTGGGATACATGCAGCTGTCTTTATCCTTGCTTGTTGTTTTGAGGACATCTGAAATCACGCATTGTTTTGAAATTCTCCTGTGATTTAGTGACTTTGCGGGACAGGTAGCGTGGAATATTTTTAATCCCATTTCATGTCTGAAACTTGGAAGGGAGCTTGTGGGTGAAATGCAGCTATTACATACATGCCGCTTTCACGTCTGGTGGAAAGGAGGGTTGAGGCTCTTTTCTTTCATCAGATCAGGTGAATGTGCCTCTCGTGGGTCGCGAGCAGCGCTGGACTGACCATAGGGCATAGCGGGCAACTGCCCGCTGGGCCGACCCTTTCATCTTTTATGGGCCGGCGGTGTCTGATTTTTTTTTTTTGGCCTCTAGTTGTTGCGGACAACTTGTCCGCACTGCCCCACGCGACGCCTCGTAAAAGTCGGTGGATTGGCCAATTGGTCATAATACACTCTGGGCTGGACCAATAGCCAGAGGTCTGATGCACCCGCCAGTTGTTTGAGTCTCAGTAAACAGAGACGAGCTTAACAAAATGGAGAACAAAAAACGGAAAGGAGGAGCGGAGAAAATTCGACTAAAAAGAAACTGGCCCTTCAGGCTGATGCTGGCACATGTGTTAAAATCTCACAGTTGTTTGGTAGTGAAGGTTCAAGTAAAATCAATTTAGGAAGGGATGGAGCCTCAACCCAGCGACAGGTTGGAGAAGAAAAGAGGGAGGAGGAGGAGGAACCCAAGCCGGCTGCCTGTCCAAGTGGCAGAACCAAATTTCAGATAAGAAGTTATTTGGGTCAAATATAAGCCAAGTTCAGGTGTAGTTTATTGTCATCGTCCTGCTTGCTAACTTTTTAAAGTCAGTTACAATAACTCATCTTACTGTTTATTATACGGAGTTTCTACTCATGGCCGGGTGCTGTGATGTTACTGACAGTTAATTTTTAGGGTTGCCAACCTTACCGTAAAAAAACCGAATTGGCCGTATGAGTTGAAACAGAACGTGATTTGTCCTGTAGTTTAGCTAGACTGCAAAAAAACCAAAAAAACAAACAAAAGAGAGACAACGTTGTGGTGTCTTTATTT